ATGATACAAATTCAACTAATGATGAGCACAGTCTGAGATCTGGATTTAATTCATGACATTTGAACCAAACAGTGACCCTCCTCAGCCTGTGCGGCTGTCAGTCTGCCTGCATGTCACATGATCCTCTGGGAAACACCTTCATGGGAGCTTTATGTGGGCAGAGGAAGCTGGACTGGAGCTGAGTAAATGTTAATTTTCACGAGTTCTCTTTCCAGCAGAACCAGAACTAGGCTTAGTGTTCTGCTGGGGCCGACCGGTGTTCAACACTGAGCCTAGTTCTAGTTCTGCTGGAGGGTTCTTCCTGTTAAAGCGAGTTTTTGTCGACTGTCGCTGCATGCATGCTCAGGGGGAGGGATTGCAGCATGTCAAAGACCCAAAGCTATAATGTTGTAGATCAGTTATTTCCAATCCTAGGGCTCGGCCCGGTACCATTCCATGTCCAAATGTTGTTTTATTGTAAAAAAAAAATCACAGTATTTCCTCGGTTTCATCCGTCTGTGAATCCCCCTTGACGTATGTCTGCCATGACGCTGTCAGTCACATGATTGGTCGCTGATTGGTCTGAAACTCCACTGTTTCAGATAAACTAAGGGCTCAGTGCTCCACTGATTATCATGGGCAGTTATTTTCATGCAAATTGTTTTCTTGTGTTAAAGACCTGTTTAATGTTACCATGGTAACCAGAGAGTAGTACAGTGAGAAAGGTTGGGGGCCATTGACAGATTTGTAAGTGAGTCATGGATGAGGGATATAATGGGAATGTCTGAAATAAATTAATTCTTGCATCATTTAATTATCCATCCATTCATTCATTACTCCATCCATTCATCAGTCCACTCATTTATACAATAATTCTTCCATTAATCTTACCATTCTTTCTGTTAAAAAAACCCCAAATCAGACTCTGCACCACACTGATAAAACCAAATCAAAATACTGCATATCTGCTGATAGCTGTACTAATTGAAATTTTGTTTTGTACAAACTGTACATATACAAAATGACAATTAAAGTTTTTTAAGTCATTTATACAATAATTGATCCATCCTTTGGTTCATCTGTTCCTTCATTCATCCACTCATTAATAAATTAATCCATTCATTCATCCATTCCTTCATCCATCCATCCATTCATCCATCCATCCATTCATGAATTCATTTATCAATTCATTCATTCATGCATTAATTAATTCATTCATTATGTAATCCATTCATCCGTTAATCTATCTATACATTCATTCATCCATGCATTTATACATTTATTAATCCATTGATTAATTCATTCATTCATTCATTCATCCACCAGCCATTCATCCATCCATCAACCAATTCATTAATCCACCCAGCCATTCATCCATTCATCCATCAATCAATTCATTTATTCATCCATTCATCCATCTATTTGTTGACTCATTCATCCATTCTTTCACCTATTTGTTGATTCATGCATTCATCAATCCATTCCTTAATTTGTCCACCAATTTATTCATCCATTCACTCATTAATTTATTCCTTCATCCATTCATTTAGTCATCCATTCATGAAACCATTAATACATTCACCCATCCATCAATTCATTCACCCATTCATTTCTTTGTTAATTCATTCATCCATCTATCAATTCATTAATTCAACCATTCATTAATTTATAAATTAATTCAATCATTGATTGTTCCATTTGGTGAGTCATTCATCTATCTATTAATTTATTCTCTCATCAATTCACTCATTTATCCACCATTTATTCTTCTATTCATCTAGTCAACCCTTCATCAATCCATACAATTCAACATCCATTCATTCATCCACTAATTCATTAATTAATCCACCCATCCACCCATTCATCCATCCATCCATCAATTCATTAATTTATGCATTCATTCATCCTTTCAATCCATCAATTAATTCTTTCATCCATCAATTCATCATCCATTCATTCATCCATGCAATCATTCATTAATCCAGTCATTCATCCATCCATTTATCTGTCATTCCATCCATTTATCTGTCATTCCATCCATTTATCCATCCGTGTATTCATTTATTCAAAATGCATGAATTCATCCATCATTCAGTCAATCATTCATCAACCTAGACATTCATCCATTTAACCCCCATGCATTCATTTATCCATTCATTTACTCATTCATCCAACTAACCATTGATTCATTTATTCATCGATCCATTGATTCATTTATTCATCCATCCATTGATTCATTAATTCATCCATCCATTATTCATTCAACTATCCATTCATTGATGCATTCATACATTAATTGATTCATCAAATAATTTCTTTTTTCATTAATTCATCCACCCGTTAATCATTTCATCCATTCATTTATTCATCAATACATTCATTCTTTCATCCATTAACTAATTCATATATTCATTTTTCATTTCCTTATCCATTCATCTACCCATTCATCCATCCATTCATTTACTCATTCATTCATTCATTCATTCATTCATCCATTCATTAATTTTTCTATTAATGCATCCATCCATTCATTCATCCATTTATTCATCCATTCCTTCATTCATCCATCCATCCATCCATTTATTCATTCATCCATCCATTTATTATTTTGTCCATCCATCCAATCATCAATCATCCATTAATTCATACATCCATATTTCTTTATTCACTCATTCATTAATTTTCATCCCTCAGTTCATCCATTCATTCACACATACAATTAGTCATTCATCCATCCTCCATCCATTATTCATCCATTTAATAATTCATCTATCCATTTATTTATTCATCCATCAATTCTTTCAACCATCCATCCATTTATTTCTTTATTTATTCATCAATACATTACTGTATTTGTGTTGTCATTCATTATTTAGTCCATTCATCCATTCATTTATCCAAATATTCATCCATTCATTCATTCATCTACCAATTCATCCATCCATTAGTTCATTCATCCATTAATTTCTTCATTCAATCATTGATCTACCATTCATTTATTTATCCATTAATTTCTTTTTTCATTCATCCATTCACCCACTCATTCATCTATTCATTTTTTATTTATTAATTTATTCTTTCATTCACCTATTGATCATTCATTCTTTCATCTATCAACTCATCCATTCATTTACCCATTTATCCAGCAATCCATTCATTCATCATCCATCTATCCCTCATCCATCCACCTATTCATCCATCCACCCATACATCCTCCATCTATCCATCCTTTCATTCATCCATCAATCCATCCATCCATCCATCATCCACTTATCCATCCATCCATGCATTCTTTCATCATTTTTCCTCCATCCATTAATTTATTCATCCATTAATTTCTTTATTCATTAATTTATCCACTCATTCATTTATTCATCCATCAATTTCTTTTTTTCATTCATCCATTCACCCATTCATTTATCCATTCACCAATTCAACCGTTCACCCATTCATTCATCAATCCATTCATTCATCCATCATCAATCCATTCATTCATTTATTCAACCATCCATCCTTCCTTTCATGCATGCATTAATAAATCCATCATTCTTTCCTCCATCCATCCATTCATTCATACATTCATTTCTTTCTTTTTATACAGTGTCCTCTCTGGCAATGGGGCAATAAGAATAATTGTCTTGATGCCAAAAAAAAGCTCAACAAATTTTGCTTTCACAAGTGTAGCAGTACGGCTATCGCCATAGTGTTCCGCTTGATTTATGCATATAGATAGAAATATATTTATTTCTTTATTAATTCATTCATCCACCCATTTGTTCATACATACATTTATTCATCCACCCATCAATCTATCCATGCATATATTAATTTATCCATCCATCCATTCATCCATCCATTAATTTGTTCATCTGTCAATTCCTCCATTCACTCATCCATTCATTCATTCATCCATCCATCCATCCATAATCATTCCATCTTACCGGGCCTTCCTGCAGTTCCTTACAGCTGGAATCAGTCGGTGTCGTCCCTCCATGGGTGTTCTGTATTTCATCAGATCCAGTTCATCCAGAACCTCCTCTGACATCTGCAGCATGTAGGCCAGAGCTGAGCACTGGATCTCAGACAGATTCTTTCTCGGTCTGCTTCCTGACTTGAGGAACTCCTGGATCTCCTCATAGACGGAGAGCTCCTTCATCTCCATCAGACAGTGGAAGATGTTGATGCTTCTGTCCGGAGAGGTTTGCTCCGTGTTCATTTCTTTCAGGTTTTTGATGACCTTGTTGGTCATCTCTGTCTGGTTATCCATCTCCTCCAGCAGACCTGCTAGGATTCTCTGGTTGGAATCCACAGAGAGGCCATGAAGGAATCGGACAAACAGGTCCAGGTGGCCGGTTTCACTTCTTAGGGATTTTTCCATGACACTATGCAGAAACTGATCAAAAGAAGAGAAGCTATGATTTGTTTTTCTGGAGTCGTTTTTTCGCAGAAAGTTCTCCACCGCCTCTGTATTCCTACTGGTGAAGCAGTGGAGCATGTAGACTGCAGCCAGAAACTCCTGGACGCTCAGGTGAACAAAGCAGTAGACTGGTTTCTGGAAGATCACGCTCTCTCTTTTGAAGATCTCTGTACAAACTCCTGAGAACACTGAGGCCTCTATGACATCCAGACCACACTGCTCCAGGTCTTCTTGGTAGAACATGATGTTTCCTTTCTCCAGATGTTCCAAGGCCAGCCTCCCCAGCTTCAGGAGAACTTCCCTGTTAGCCTCCATCAGCTCATTTGGACTCATCTCATGTCCTTCATGGTACTTGTTCTTCTTCCTCCTGGTCTGGACCAGCAGGAAGTGTGAGTACATGTCAGTCATGGTCTTGGGCAGCTCTCCTCTATGCTCTGTGGCCAACAGGTTCTCCAGAACCATAGCAGTGATCCAGCAGAACACTGGGATCCCACACATGATGTGGAGGCTCCTGGAGGTCTGGATGTGGGAGATGATCCTCCTGGCCTTCTCCTCTTCATCACTGAACCTCCTCCTGAAGTATTCCTCCTTCTGGGTGTCAGTGAAGCCTCGTACTTCTGTTATCCTTGAAACACAGGAAGGAGGGATCTGATTGGCCGCTGCAGGTCTGGAAGTTATCCAGACCAGAGCCGAGGGAAGCAGGTTCCCCTTGATGAGGTTCACCAGCAAAACGTTGACTGATGACTTCTGTCTGACGTCAGAAACAATCAGACTGTTGTTGAAGTCCAGAGAAAGTCTGCTTTCATCCAGGCCGTCAAAGATGAAGAGAAGCTTCCAGACAGCCAGCTTTTCTGCTGGGAGCTTCTGGAGGGTTGGATGGAAAACATGGAGCAGCGTGAGAAGACTGTGCTGCTGATCTCTGATCAGGTTCAGCTCCCTGAAGGAAAGCAGAACCACTACACTGACATCCTGGTTCTCTAGGCCCTCTGCCCAGTCCAGAGTGAACTTCTGCACTGAGAAGGTTTTCCCACCACCAGCGACACCATAGGTCAGAACCACTCTGATTGGTCCATGTTGCTCAGGTGACACTTTAAAGATATCCTGGCATCTGATTGGATCATCGTGGAGGTTGTAGATCTTGTTGGTTTCTTCTAGCTGCCTCACCTCATCTCTGGTGTTTACTGATTCTTTCTGTCCTTCTGTGATGTAAAGATCAGTGTAGATCTTGTTGAGGAGGGTTCTATTTCCTGTTTCATCACTTCCTTCAGTCACCCTCTCACATATCCTCCTCAGGCTCCTCCTGTGTTCAACTAAAACCTTTTCCACCTCAACATCTGCTAAGAAAACAGAGAAGAAACCAAAACAACGGGCTACATTATTCAGTTGAAAGTTTAGCAGAGATGTTATCTTTAGCTGTTCTGAGTTTCCGGTATGCAGGTAAAGATTCCCAGTCATCCAGGTCATAGTCATTCAAAAAAGGTAAAAAATAAAAAATAAAATAAAAAACAATCTACTGGACTCTGTTTTCCAAGTTTAATGACGTTTTGTTTCTCATCCAGGAAGCTTTTTCAATTTAAAATGTCTAGACTTGTGTGAATGAAACTCAAAAACCTACCACAGTGATAGAGTTGATTTTCTTCCACTGTCATCTCAACCCCCATCGTCATGCAGGGGACGAAGAAATCTTGCCTGATCAGCCAGGCCAACAATGACCCTAACGACTCAATTTTCAGAGGCATAGACCAGTACTGGGTATTGCAGAATAACAAAGACGTCAATGAGTCCCCATTTCTAAGGGATGGAGCTGTTCTTCTGGTTAAATTTGCATATAACAAGGTTTTGTTAGGCTACTCTATTCAATTCCATTTATTTCTATAGCGCCAATTCACATCATGTCATCTCAGGTCACTTTCCAGTTAACCAGATCATCCGGTCAGATTGATTCGAAGTTTTCTATGCTCACAACAATTACAATCAGTTAAGAAATGTTTAAACATAGACACTTAAAGGTATATGGGGAGGATTTTCCTGACCCGCCCTCTCCACTTAAAAAAAAATGCACATGCACAACCCTGTACCTACTCCCAAGAGGGAATGCTTATTAAAGGCATGCAAGAGCATGCACAAGCCCATTTCTCCTCATTTTACTAATTGTGAAACAGATTTCTCCAAATAGCATGCCAAACTTCACCTGTCGAGTTTAAACTTTGCAACCGAGGAACCAGTGGGAAGCCTGACCTGTACTTTCATGGTACGTCATCGCGTGAAAGAATCTCCTAAAAACACTCTGGTCTGGTTTTGTCATGGTCCTGGCCCTGGTGGCTTGATTGCTTATTCCACCCACCTGTTTGACTCTGCCTGCTTTCTCATCATTGCTTATCTGATCCACCTGGTTCCAGCTCCTATATATACTGTTTGTTTTCAAGCTAGCAGTGCCAGATTATTCTAGCTGTTTGGTGAGAGTAACTCTAGCGTTTGACTATTATTCTTATTATTCTGTTTGTGACCTGTTTCTGTCTTGTGGATTCTGAGTTTTGCCCCTGTCTGCTCTATCAGTCTGACCAGTTCTGGACTGTTTCTTGGATGCAACTGGCTCACTGAACCTGGACTGTTTTCCTGACCCCGGCTTGGATTCCCTCATCGGTACCTCATCCGCTCTCTGATCATCTGGTAAAAGAACTTTGTTCTTGTACGACTTTGGTTTGGATCTCCCTGGCGTCGCTTGGCATCAGCTCCGCTCACCTCATGGAACTCCGGGGGCCGCGCCCGCCGCAAGCAGAGGACAATCACCTTCACGGATTCCTCTCAACCCTCTGGGATCGGACTGAACTCTAAAACAGGTCAGTGACTATAGCTCTTAGCTGTTACCAGCCATTCACTCTTCACCGACCTGAGTGTCTGTTTCCACAGAGGATCCGTGTTATCCGCTCCAGCTGACGCGCAGTTGCACGCTGTCATTTAATAAAAGAATGTTGGAAATCTTCCAGCTCTGTCTGTTGAATTTCAAGGTTTCGAGCCCCTGACAGGTTTCTCTATTCTGAGGCCTTTCTCATCTTCTCATCCACTTCGTAGACACTTTTTCTCTTCCGACCCTCGGCCATTCAAAGAACCGCGGTGAAAAAGATGAGCTACAATGACTGTCAGAAACCATAGCTCACCACAGATATACGCCTGAAAGTGTGCATGCGCAGAAACATACCAACCAGTGTAACAAAAATAATTTCCTCTGGGATTATTAAAGTATTTCTGATTCTGAACCACAATGATTGACAATTAAGACAACCACTTCTTTTGATGATCCACCCAGAAGAAGAACGTCCTCCACTATACCTTTAATAGGAATATCTTTTTAGGAAACATATGTTGAATGTTGAATTTCAAGGTTTCGAGGCCCTGACAGGTTTCTCTATTCTGAGGCCTTTCTCATCTTCTCATCCACTTCGTAGACACTTTTTCTCTTCCAAACCTCGGCCATTCAAAGAACCGCGGTGAAAAAGATGAGCTACAATGACTGTCAGAAACCGTAGCTCACCACAGATATTACCCTGAAAGTGTGCATGCACAGAAACATACCAACCAGTGTAACAAAAATTATTTCCTCTGGGATTATTAAAGTATTTCTGATTCTGAATCACATTGATTGACAATTAAGAGAACCACTTCTTTTGATGATCCACCCAGAAGAAGAACGTCCTCCACTATACCTTTAATAGGAATATCTTTTTAGGAAACATATTTTCTATTGATATCCAATGAAAGTTATGGTTACATTCAGATAGATGCAGATCATTTTTGGTGAATGTATTATTTAATTTTGTAAAGAAAGGTTTATACTTATATACATTATTTGTATTGTATTATGCAGTGGTGTCAAAAGTACACATCTGTTACTGAAGTAGAAGTATAGATACTGCAGCTTAAAAACACTCTGGTAAAAGTTGAAGTATCAACTTGACCTCTTTACTCAAGTAAAAGTGAAAAAGTATGTGCGACAAAAACTACTTAAAGTATAAAAGTATAAAGTAACCTTTAAAAAACTATATACTATAAAGCTCAATTTTTCAACTATTTCTATAAATTCTTTGAGATAGGGCCAAGGATGAGGGAGGTCTTGTTGGTCTCCATCTCCCGATACGCTCTCGCCTGTGTCCGACCTTTCAGACATTTCAACATCTTTTTCTGAATCCGTCATTGTAGCATGGCATAGACAATTCACGTTAGCAGTTTGAAGAACACTTGCTTGCTTTTGATGATTTCCTTTAGCTAACCAATGAGTGTTTGCGTTATATGACTCATCCAATCACACTAGTTTTCACTAGATGTGGATGGAGCCAATGATCTGCATTGGATGGCGCACATGACGTTAAATAAATATTTACAAACATTAAACCGAAGCCAAGAGTAATGAGTAACGTTTGTTTTAAACATGTAAGGAATAGAAAGTACAGATACTTGTGTGAAAATGTACTGATTAGAAGTCAGAAGTAGGAAGGAAAATAAAAATAAGCCCAAATGTTAAGTTTTGATCTTTTTTTCCAACAATTTAATTTGAAAAACTTTAAAAAAAAATGTATTAAATTGCATGCAGTTCAAAATACACTAGTGTTTTATTTCCTGCTCATTAAGCCTGTTAGTTGACTTATAATGATTGCTGCTGTACTTATTGAGCCCTGTGGAAGTAAAATAAATAAATAAAAAAACATTTCATTAACCACACTGCCATTTTGTTAAAATGCTAAGAAGTGTATTTGGTTAGAAATAAAACATTGAACCTTGTGAAGTTACTTTCTTTTGTTTGACTTACTTTATTCATTTGAGGCAATCAGTTTCCTAGATTCTGTAAAGTAAACTCTACTGTTCATCTCAATTGGACCAACATGATGCAGCTAAGTTAAAAACAGGTTAATTTACTTGCTATTGAAACTACTTCATTGAATTAAGTTAAATTCATTTCATAAAACTAAGTTTATACAACCAGGCTTTAAGTACACAAGTACATGTTAAGTAAACAAAATGAAAGACTAATAATTATAAATACTTAACTTTTTTAAGGCAATTGGTTTTCTAGATTTTTTTTAAGTAAACTCAACTTGTCAGATTTTATAGTATAGAAAGATTTATATAGTGTAGAAAGGTACTCAAGAGGAGTAAGGCTAAAATTACACAAAATGTATTTCTAATCATAGTAAGTAAGGGTTTAAATGCTTATATGAATGCAAGTTTGTTTTTTACTCAGGACTAAATTGCTTCTACATTAAATTACATATGACAAAACAAAACCTTATTTGTTTTTTGATTTTTTTATTATAAGTTGAAGGTTTTTTTTTTTTATCAGGAATGTCTTACCTTGCACTAAGCAGCCCTGACTGGCAGTCTGCAGCTCAGATGTTCTGGAGCCTTCACCACAGTGGAGACAGGAAGGTGGTCCAGCTGAAGCAGGAACATCACTCCTCTTCGATCTGTGAAAACATTTCCTCATCAGCATTGGTCTGGAACTGGACACCAGGGAATATTAATCACGTCAATTCAAACTTCTGCCTGCTGCTGTGCGCCTGCTCCAGCTACCATGATATAATGATGATATTTATTGTTTATCTATAAAGGCCCAGAACCAATAGAAGATAATCAGTTATTTCCATGCAGTATGTTTCCTCTGGGAAACTCGTGGCATTATCTTCTTGACTGGCCTTCATTGACTACTGCTTCCTTCTTATAACAGAGAAACCACATTTCTGCACACTTTTACTTTTAATGTTACAACTAAATGCTTGAATTTTCTACTGAGAAGCAAACAAGTCTGAGACAATATATATAAATTAATAAAAAATGTATGATAGCCTAGTTGCATAAAATCACACCAATAGAATGGAACGTCTTAAAAAATTAATTTCGTGGTGATTGTAGACAGAAAACAAGTAGTGTACTTATAGAAAATAAACGGTGGTTGTTGTTGATGACAGAAAGTTAAAAGCAGCTCAATTTGGCTAACTTTATATAGACAACTAAACCAGATCATCCAGTCAGATTGATTCAAAGTTTTCTATATAAGGAAAACCAGCTGATTGCATTGACTCATTGACTCTTCAGCAATCCCTCACACCAAGCATACGGTCATTAGACACCCTAACACTGCAGATGCTCCCACCGTACTACATAGGTGCTGTGTTATGTTATTAATCGTTGTCCTGTCTTACTTCACTTCGTTGCAAATGTGTATGGTGTTGCCCACGATGCCGTTGCACAGATATTCCCCAGTGGCATGCCCATCATAGCCGCCCAGGATGTACACACTCTTAGTAGAATGGCACATAACCATGGAGGGTGCTGCACCCTCAGATTCATAAGCCAGCACAATGGCATCTGCACCAGCCTGTGCTAGGAAAGGGCTTTCTTCCTGTTCTGCCCACTGTGGCACATGAACAGCTGCTCTGACCAATGAATTTACAGCTGCACTGCCCAGACGT